ACTCAATCCATTGGTTCTACATCACAACATCACAGTGCTTCTACTTCTTCTGGTTCTTCTAGTTCTTTGGGAAATGCACAGGACTCATGTACATAGACTACTCTTTCCAGCCCTATGTTGCATGTCTTTCATCCACAACAACTCCAAGTTATGTTGCCCTCACTTAATTCCTCTAGTTCTCCAAGCACAGTGAATTCATCTGTATCACATGGGATTCAGACAAGGTTACGCACTGGTACAATCACCAGAAAGGATTATTCAGCCTTAACTACCATATTTCCAGAAGTGAAGTCTTTAACTCTTGATGATGATGCTCATTTTTCAGGAGGTTTTACCTTTGTTGCTGCAATTATGGATGCCTCAGAACCATCAACTTTTAAACAAGCCTCTCATATTCCTTAGTGGCAAATGGCAATGCAAGAAGAGTTTGATGCTCTTCAAACCCAAGGTACTTGGACTCTCGTTCCGAATTCTTGTGATAAGAATGTCATTGGCAGTAAGTGGGTATATAAGATCAAAAGAAATAGTGATGGTTCCATTTCCCGATATAAAGCACGATTAGTTGCTCAGGGATTCAACCAACAAAAAGGGCTGGATTATACATAAACATTTAGTCCTGTGGTCCGGCATTCTACAGTTCGACTAATCTTAGCATTAGCTGCTACACATCATTGGGATCTTCGACAACTTGATGTGAAGAATGCCTTTCTTCACGGAGAATTGCAGGAAGATGTGTATATGAAACAACCTCAAGGTTTTGTTAATCCTCAGTTTCCTACTCATGTGTGTAAATTAGTTAAGTCCCTTTATGGTTTAAAGCAAGCTCCACGAGCTTGGAATGCAAAATTCACTAGTTATTTGCAAGCTATTGGATTTGCAGCTTCTGTCTCGGATTCTAGTCTATTTGTTAAAACTGAAGGGACTCATGTTGTCATTCTCCTTCTCTATGTCAATGATATTGTCATCACAGGTTCTAATTCTCAGTTGATACAGTCTGTGATCACAACTCTTAGTGAAGTGTTTGACCTTAAAGATATGGGAAAGTTAGCCTATTTCCTAGGCTTACAGGTTACTTACAAGACCAATAGGGATCTGTTTATCAATCAAGTCAAGTATGTTAAAGATTTGATTCATAAATCTGGCATGGATGATTGCAAACCATGTTCCACACCTTGTAAACTTCATAATCAAGTTCTCTCCACTGCTGGTATCTTATTACCTGATCCTACTCTATATCGCAGTTTGGTTTGAGCTCTTCAATACCTTACCTTTACACGCCCTGATATTGCCTTTGCTGTAAATTCTGTTTGTCAATATATGAATGCTCCAACGGATGTTCATTTTGCCATGGTCAAAAGAATACTTCGTTATTTGCAAGGTACTGTCTAGTGTGGTTTGACATATATTTATAGAGGGTTTGTCTCTGTAACTGCATACAGTGATTCGGATTGGGCTGCAGATTTGAACACTCGGCGATCTATCACGGGGTATGTTGTCTATCTTGGGTCTAATCCCATTTCCTGGCAATCCAAAAAGCAGTCCTCTGTTTCTCGGAGTTCCACTGAAGCTGAATATCGTGCCTTAGCATATACTACAGCTGATATTGCTTGGATTAGGCTCGTACTTAAAGATTTACATGAGTTCTTGTCTTCTCCTCCAGTGTTATATTGTGATAATCAATCTGCAATAACTTTGAGTTTAAATCCAGTTCAACATTCTCGGATCAAGCACTTGGAAACCGATTTTCACTTTGTCCGTGAATGAGTTCAGAAAGGAGATCTCTTTGTTGAATACTTGTGTACTAAAGATCAAGTAGTCGATGCCCTCACCAAAGGCCTTCATGGTCCAGATTTTCTTCGTCACTGTTTCAATCTTAAGCTTGGTTATCCAAGCTAAGATTGAGGGGGGGTATTGGATGAGTAAAAAGAATGCCAAGTCATCAACTTACATGTGCAAAACATATGCGCATGAAGTGTATGTCATAAGTCTCAATAGGAGAGTATAAATACTTTCTTTCCTTTTGTAGTCGGTAAGTGATGGTTATACACAAAAACAGTGAAAGAAATACATTGATAAATTCTTCAATTTTCTTCCAGTCTTCCTTCATCTGTACATTTCTTGATTTCTATAGAATTCTTCATTGTTGTTAAGAAATTTGGCTAGCCACCACTTCCACTTAATATTAGCTATTTTAGTAAGTTAAAATATGTTTTTCCCTAAACTAATTAACAAGCCAAGCCCTTTTTCTTCTCTTGAAGCCTACAAACAATGCAATTTATAGTTTTCAATGTTTAGCAAAAATTTAACTTTCTCACTCCTCCTAGCTAAAGTAGGTAGGTTGTTGGAGCTTGGTTTTTCTTCAAGCGTGTTGGAGCTTGGTTTTTCTTCATTTTTGTTGAAGTAGGTAGGTTGTTGGAGATGCTCCGTACGTATTTGCCTGTGTTTTTTAAGTTTCTTGTCACATTGATCTTTTATTTTTTGGGCGATACTTGGGTACTCGCTAGGGAGTACTCAAGTTACTGACTTCATAATGTGGGCTATTCTCCCAAGTTATTGACTTCATAATGTGGCCAAATGAGAATAGCCCACCTATCTTCTCTAAAACTGCCCCAAACATTGGTTATCTTTGTAATCAAATATCACAATTTTATAGCATTGACTCAAGATATCTCCATACTGTTAAAGAACCCCAAGAAGTGTCGTTTCTATTCCAGAATTGGTCAGTAACAAAATAAAGTGTAAAAGAGAGTTCGATGAGTTTTCTTTAGTCTTTAGCTTTTTTAGTAGAGCCTTGGAGGATGAGATTCAGTGTCTGAAAAGAGAAAATGAAGGGAATATAACCTTGAGATTGAGTTTGGAGACGAGAATGGAAAAAAGGATTCAGCAATTCACCTTTTGGTTAATACTCAACCATTAAATAGCAAAAAGCCAACGCCAAACTACATACAGTTAACATCCACAAGAGACTACAACACTAGTTTTGTTGGAGGAGATAAACAATTTGTTGATTAATTACGTTCTTCGTCAGCAATGGGTGAATCCAAGCTTTGAAGATCAGGTTGTAAATTGAACATGTTTGAGATTTTTTCGGTTAACAACTATGATTTACAAAGAATTGCTTACCGATAAAAACATTTGGGACAGTATGTTGTCCTGTAATTATTGTTTGAATGATTAAGGATGACCTGTTGAGAAGGCTTGGAAACAAAAACTTGTAACCGATGGCCACTGTACTCGTTATTCGTCCGTTCGACTTTTGGAGGAGGCAAAAGAAGAAACAAATATTTTTGTTGCATGACAAGGATTTGAAACTTTACTAACCTTGGTGGAATTTTCTTCAAAGAGTAGATATCAATAGAAGGCCTTTTTCGATGGGAGCACTTGAACACATGCCCAATTTAATTTTGTTTCCGTTAGAACTGCGGCCACGAGAGGTTAGAGCTCAAAGCTAATTAATATATGTTGCACATTCGTTGTATTACTATGCTAATTAAGCATTTCGGTTTCCTGCTATGTGTCTAATTTTGTTAACAACTATACGCTGGTAGAACTCTTGGTGTAATTGTGTTATTTGGCCCAATTAGTTTATGCATGATAAGGTGTTTTCATGTGAAAATGTGATTTATCTTCCATTTGTCTACACATGCATGTTACAAGAGGAAAGCATCCAACTGATCAACACGTGAACATTTTTTGTTTTTATTTGAGTTTTTATTTTCCCCCTCAGGCATTTAACAATTGGGGAGTTTAGAGATGCAAAGTTAGGTTATTATATTGCCTTTAGATTCACTTGTTCAAGGCTTATTATTGTAAAGATGGAAGAAATATTGATGAAGATGAAGAAAGAATTCTGCAGAAAACAGAGAGAGAGCTCGAGAGTGTATGAGAGAAAAAACTTGTATTTTTCTTAGTGATCAAGTAATATTTTACGGTGTACACTTATACTGTTTTAACAGTTTTTTAATCATGCAATGTAAGCTAACTACCTGGATAAGATTCTAACAACCTTATAACTACCTGTTACTCTGACATCCCACATCACCCAGGGGTGTGATCCTTAAATGTATATTCCCATCCCTACCTAGCACGAGGCCTTTTGGGAGCTCACTGGCTTCGAGTTCCGTAGGAACTCCGAAGTTAAGCGAGAAGGGGGCTAGAGCAATCCCATGATGGGTGACCCACTGGAAAGTTGCTCATGAGTTCCCAAAAACAAAACCGTGAGGGAATGGTAAGCCCAAAGCGGACAATATCGTGCTACGGTGGTGGAGCGGGCCCGGGATATGATCCGTCCTTGGTCAGGATGTGACAATTACAATCCTTATAACAACCTATTTTATATCTTGATAAGTGACTACATATGTGCCCTTGATATGTTCTTCATTTCGATCCTTATCTTTGCCACGCTTACAATTATTGATATGGACTGGGCCAAGTTCCGAACAGCAGCTTCACTTTTTCCATTTTCTTTGTTGAATTTGTGTTCTTAATTCCTCAAGCCTTTGGCCCCATATGTGTTATGATTCTATGAATACATATGCTTTGAAATTTCCTTTAGAATTTAACAAGAAGTTGATTATTTCTTCTTGGCCTTCTGACCAAATGAGCTGACTTTTCAAAGCAATTTGTGTGTTCCCCAAGACCACCAACGTTTCTCTGCCACGTATAGCTCCGAGAGCACGAATTTCTGAAATTGGATCCACTATTGTCCGGAGCATAAGGATCTAAAAATCTGGATTTTTTATTTGTGTAGAAAAAAAATTAGAGTTGTTAGAATTAAGTTATATATATATATATATATATCTTAGATAGATACATGAACCAACAAGACTTAAGACTAAGTGTAGGTTTATATGAAATATTACTTAAGGTCAAATAAGACGGTATTATAATTCGTAATCTCCATGTGACCTCCTTTACAGACAGCTTGGAGCCCACGCAAGTTTGAACTGCATCCAACCAGCAATATATAGCATCCACCAGACCAGAGTAAGAAGACAACCACAAGCAAGAAGAATATGGAGGAAGTGAAGGTAATAGGGTTCTGGACAAGTCCATATGTTTACAGGGTTACATGGGCTCTGAATCTCAAGGGTATCAAATATGAGTATCTGGAAGAGGACATTTTTAACAAGACTGATTTGCTTCTTCGCCATAACCCGGTGCATAAGAAGGTTCCGGTGTTTGTCCATGGAGGAAAAAGTATTGCAGAGTCCATGGTTATACTCGAGTACATCGACGAAACATGGCCGCAGAACCCTCTCCTGCCAAATGACCCTCACGCAAGGGCCGTGGCTCGGTTTTGGACCAAATTTGGAGATGACAAGGTAATCCTACCTCCCTGACTCTACCCCCATTTGACATAATATGATGTCTTCACTGACTAGTTTTCTTTTGTGTAATTCAGAAGCAAAGCTTTACTAGATTCTACAAAGCTGTTGGCGAAGATCTAGCAAGAGCAGTAAAAGATGCCCAAGAACATCTGAGAATCCTAGAAGAGCATGGCCTTGGTGAGAAGAAGTTTTTTGACGGAAATGAGATCGGAATGACAGACTTATCTTTTGGATGGATAGCATTCTGGATTGAGGTCATGGAAGAAACGGCTGGTGTAAAAGTGCTGGACGTCGATAGCTTCCCACGCTTGCACGCATGGATTAAAAGTTTCAGGGAAGTTCCTGGGATCAAAGGAAATCATCCTGATCCAAGTCAACTGTTGGCCTATTTTAAAGGCCTAAGGGAGAAGTTTACGAAGCCAGCAAATTCTTGATATCCAAGTCTCTTAATATATATACATGAACCAAACACGAATAAAGGTTCAAGAGTAAGGAGTCATATCAGATATATAAAAAATGCAACAGCTTGTGTAATCTTCAAAAACCCTTCATTAACTGTCGAATCATAAAGGTATTATGAAAATGAATTTGCATTCACAGTGTACTTTCTCTGATCAATGAAATTTGTCGAGGTAGAAATTGAGCGTCTTTTTCTTTCGAATAATCAGACTGCGAGGAGATCAGGCTCTGTAAGTGAATGCACGCTGGGCTGTCGAGCTTAGCTTTGTGTATTTTTAGCACTCGCTTCTGAGAGTAAAGTTTCGAGTTCACCTGTTCGGTATAACTTCACAGTGTCTGCATATCAGAAGTAAGAGCAACATTAGTCATTAAAATAGTTTCCCTTTGTTTTAACTTCCTTCTTTTTAAGATTTTCCTTCGTCACGGAAGATTTTATAACTAGCCAGCACGGCCAACACAAAGATATACAACTGTTGACCCAAAAAGAGACGAGTTCGGGCATCTCAACGATACTAGCTAAATTTTTGTTATTGTAGCTAGCCAAATGACCCACATGTTAATTTGGCTAGCCACCATGTTCCAACAATACTAGCTATTTTAGCTTAAGTTAAAATATTTATTTTCCTAAACTTAACAACCCAAGCCCTTTTTCTTCTCTTGAAGCCCACGAACAATGTAATTGTATAGTTTTGAATGTTTAGCAAAAATCCAACTCTCTCTCCCTCTCTCCTCCTAGCTAAATCTATCTAGTTAATGTTCACAAAGTTAAGATAGCTAGTTATTTAGCTAGCCTGTCGGAGCTTTGGTTTTTCTGCATTTTTTGTCAAAGTAGCCAGAAAGTCTCGTTTAACTAGGCTGTTGGAGATGGTCACTACATATTTGCCTGTGTTTTTCTTAACTTTCTTGTCACATTGGTCTTCTATGTTTTTAAGAGTATAATCAATTGCCCACTCGTGAAAAATACAAAAAAAAAAAAAAAAATGCAAAACTGTTTTGTTAAAAACCAGTGCCATAAAAGACGACCATTCATGTAAGAATATGATACCTGTACAACCACCAATGTGTTTCCCACCTGCATGGAAAGGAACAGAAGTATGAGCTTCTATTACTAATTTATTATTAAACAAACATTAAGATCAATAGTAGAAATTGCAATACGAAAAACTTATAATGTGTTCGAACCCATTAGTCGGTAATATCTTTCTTCAGATAGTGCCTATTAGTGAATGAAGCTACTGTTGAGAAATCGTACTGAGGATGGGATTACTATGAAGTCAAAATCTAACAAAATGAAAATTTCTTTTCTAATTAAACCTTACCGTATTTCACTGAGTGACCATTAACAGGGGCTAGAGACAGATAATATCACAATTTTCTAGCATTGACTCAAGAGACTGTTAAAGGACCCAAGACTATTCCGGCAATTGCTCAGTAACAAAATAAAGAGTGAAAAGAGAGTTCGAGGAGGTTTCTTTAGTCTTTACTTTTGTTTGTAACCTTGGAGGATGAGATTCAGTGTTTGAAAGGAGAAAAAATGAAGGGAATATAACCTTGAGAGTGAGTATGGAGAAAAGAATGTAAAAAAGGAAGATTGCGTGTTTGAGACGAGAATAGAAAAAAGGATACAGCAATTCACCTTTTGGATAACATTCAACGCCGAACTACATATAGATAACATCCACAAGACTACTACTCTAGTTTTGTTGGAGGAGATAAACAATTTGTTGCTCAAAGATTACATTCTTCATCAACAATGGGTGATACCGTTGCACTTATCAACAACTGTGTATAATAAGTATTGAGGACAACTGAAATTGTACAAAATTGCAATAAACATCGCGTTGAGATACTTTCTAGAATAAATATTATTTCTAAGCTATGTAGAGCTGCAGCATAAGTAGCCTAAAATACCAGTCCACCCTTGGATCCATCAAATGAATCCAAGGATGGGAGCTCAGGTTGTAAATTGAACATGTTCGAGATTTTTTAGATTAACTAAGAATTACAAAGAGTTGCTTACCAATAAAAACATTTGGGACAGTATGTTGTCCTGTAAGCCGCTCCAATACCTTTTGTAGCTGTGGCCCTTGGGGACCTGAACAAGAGAAATAGCTTTCAAATTCAGCGACGGATTCAAACATGATTCTTCAACATTAAAACAAAGCCAAACAGATGCGTAACCTATTAAATTCGGGGAACAAAAACCTTTGAACTTTGTGTATAAAAGCAAACTTATTTTCTTGATTATAGAAAAATTATTTCGACGATTCTGAAATCCCCAGAAACGTGAGGACATTCCTACAACCTTTCTGTTCGAAAGGCGAATGGAGCTCACACGTTGATCTTGAATGGTATTCAATATTCACACCTTCTACACATGTTCAGCTAACCTACCATCAAATTTTCTATTCCAACTATTCTACCACATTGTGAAACACAGAAAACTAAATCTAAAGCTCAATTAACATTCACATTAAATCTAAGGACTGAACTGCAAACTCAAGCGTTGCCATGTAATGGTAAAAAATGCGTACCCAGTTCATCCAATTCAATCACGATCGGCTCCACGCCAAGCCTTTTGAACAACGTTTTCACCTCAGACGAGTATCTTCAAACACAATTTCCCAAAAACCGAATTCAAAATTTCTCGAAAAGAAACCAAATTTACACCAAGATCAACACCCAAATTGCAAATTTACGAAATTTAAAAGCACAGGAGATTTGAAAAGATGCACTCACGAACACCAAGTTTTGGAATAGACGGCAACTGGGTTCTCATCCACCGTCTTCTTAACGCTCTCTTCGAGCCGAGACCCGAAGGAGGAGGAAGCCATGGCCTGAACCGACATGGGTCTCCATCGTCTCGAGCTGCCATGGACGCTGGAAAGGCTGGTGCTCAAGCTGCCTCCCGGACTGTTATTATTGCTGAAGGGAAGAGAGCAAATGGATGACTTGTTTGCAGAAGAAAGAATGCGAGCTGAATTTAGAGAAACGGATGCGAAATTGGTGAGATTGTATGAGACTGCCATTGCTGTTGCTGCTGTCTCTCTCTCTCTCTCTCTCTCTCTCTCTCTCTCTCTCTGTGGCTTCAGCTTTCTTGGGAGCTTTTTGCTTGGCTTTTCGGCCTATCTACCGGTCACTTTACCTGCTTCCTCCGCCTTTTTTGTTGACAAATGAGAATGCGAAGGTAAAAAGCTGTACAACAGGTGAAGGAGAAATATTGTCAGGCTTGGGTCTCCTATAATTGCTTATGATGTAACTTTAAATTATTTTTATGGTATCGAAAAATGATGGTCCATGTTTGTGTTAAGTTTAATAGTTACACGTGCTATACGTTGTTTAATTCATATTTTTTACGTGTTTGGTTTGAAAATTTCTTATATATGAGAGAACGTGTGAAAATATGAAATAAATGATTCTCACATCGATGAAAGAAAAACTTTGTAAAAATTTAGAAGAAATTAAATTACTTTTTCGCATTGTCAATCCTTAATTTTATGATAAAATCTTAAAATTCTTCGTTGTGTTCTCTTACTGGTTTGGGTTTTTGACTGTTGGATTCATTTTCCTTGTCATTCAGTGGCTGATGAAAAAGTGAAAACAGGAACTGGGCTTTTGCTGCCATTGATTTGAGGCTTTTGGCAGTTGGACTGAGGAGAACGAAAGCCACATATGAAAAGCATTAACCTGCAAGAAGATATGGACTTATGGACCTTTAGGTTTTTGTCTAAGGGCCACCTTAGGGAGCATGTATGTTTCTTTGAGCCTAAGATGGAGCGTGCATGTTTCTTTGGGCCTAACTCCCTCCTTCTACCAAAAATAAACACTTGGATTGGGTAATAATCCGGCTATTGAACAAACGTTTGTTCTTAGAAAAAAAAATGTACTATAAACATTCCGTTAATATCTTGCCAACAATACATCCAGACATTTTGCAGATACATTTTCAATAACATTTATGCATGTTCATTGTTTAATCAATATCAGACGTCTTACATAAAGATTTATTTTCTAAGAAAGAATAAAAACAAGTGTTAGATAAGTTATACATTTTTATATTTGTGTATTTCAAGCAATAGATATAACCATTTTGCTTGTACAACTACGATCAGCCTTGTATGTTATTGTAGGCTTTGTCCTTCTAGATTAGTGGATTCTTGGAGGTCATCAAGTACATCCCCATGTGTGTATACTGTATAGGATTCATCACATAACCGGTGACGACCTTCTCTATATCCGACTAATGTAAGTATAGGATTATGTGACCAGTGACGACATAGTCTTTCTCCTCTGTATCTCGGTCATGTGAGTATAGCACTTATCACGTGACTGTGACATCCAAGTCTTCCTCCTCGTCAATAAATCCCCAAATAGATGATGACGAACTATGATATCAGCTCCTTCATATTTGTAAAAAGTGTATGATCTGCTTTCATAACAAAATGTGCCTATTTTCCAATTTTTCCTTATTAAATTGCATCTTCATCAGATATCCATGCATATCTTAGTAAAGCCAAGAACCCCATCAATTTTCTGTCTCGCTGCTATTTAATTCCAAACCAAAGCATGATAAATAATGATACAACAAATGTATGAATTGTGTCTCTGTGTTCGGCAAGGCTTGCTGCATGGTCAGAGACTCCTTGCTGGCTGGTTTCAGGCTTAGGGTTGCAGAGGACTTGCACTCGTCTCTTCACTGCATGTGCAATCAGTGACTCAGTGTGCGTGCATGGTCCATATGGGAATGGCACAACCTCAATCATGGAAAATGGCAGTTTATGTCCCACATTTCAAATATAGCCAAAACTCCACTTGAAAATACCTAACTACCCTCAAAACCTAATGGTAAATGTCAGTTTTAATTTTGATAGATTTGAGGGTTTTGCTAACTATACCCTCAAAATGATAAATGTCAGTTTTTATCACTTATAGCCAAAATTTGTTTGTCCCTAAATTCATACATGTCAATTTTTATAAAATATTTTAAATATAGCCAAAACTCATCTTGAAAAGACCTAACTACCCTCAAATAGAGAGGGTTTTGTCAACTAAGAAATGAATAAAAATTTATCATGCTCCACTTTCTAATTTTCTATATTGGGAGATGACAATAATCAATACCCTAAAATGAAAAGAAAGAAAAAAAAAGAATAGAAAACGCCATCTCTTCGGTGTTTTGTTTGTTTTTTTTTTATTTTGGAGGGTATTCGTATGTTGATGTGAATGTTTGTTTATATTTAAAAGCTTTTATAAAACCTGTTAATTATGAATTTAAAAGTTAAATTTTGACTATTAATGCTGAATTCTTATGAAAAAACCAAAAATGAAAACATAAGATGCATGGATGACATCTAAATAGACTTAACTATGTGACAACCTCCTTCAAATTCTATATATACTAAAGCTCAGCGGATTGGCACTGTTCATTAACAGTGCCCACCCGGTTTTGTCCCTCGCCTGCTGAGCAATTTTTTGTCCTTTTCTGGAATTGTGCAGTGAGTTGGCCATTTTGTCCTTTCCGCTTTCTGGTGCCGTTCTCCATCATCTGCGGTTCTTTGCTTTTAAAAACCCAAACAATATTTTTATAATTTTTTTCCTTTTTGGCGCCACAAACTATGTGGCTGGATTTAACTCCTGACAACTATAATCATTTGTTTTGTCCTGCAGTCTATTTGTTTATCATTTTTTTGTCCAAAAACCAATGTGTTCATCCACGGGGTAAAACAATTGGTGATTGTTTTGTTTATTATATATATAATTGTTTTTCTCAAGAACTCCCTCACCGACTGTTGCAGCTCTCTCTGAAAGTGGGTTTTCATTTTTATGCATGTTATTATTTTATTTCTCTCTCACTGTTTCTTTTCCATGTGAGAAAGAGGCAAGAGGAAAAGGGGAATGCCATTGCCATTGCCATTGTCTGGTGGTAGCAACGAAGGCCCATTCCTCGAAAAATGGATAATAAATGCAAAGTGGCAGAGAAATATACATACATGTGTATGTATATACTAATACTCAACAGGATAAAATTACTGTTCATTCACAGTAAGCGGACGAAAGTGCCCTCCAATTCATTTGTTATCTGCCCATTTTTTCCTTTTTTTAACAGTAAAAAGACGACTTTGCCTTTCATCTCCACCTGTCGATCACTCCTCAGCTTCTGTCATTTTCAATGGCATAAATGCCCTCTGTTTCTTCTCCATTATGCCGTTTGTCCACGCGTCGATCATCGCTCCACATCGACTACTTCTCGACCTTTCTTCTCTACTTTTCCCTCCGTTCCACTTTTCTCTCTCACAATTCCCTGCTTCTGTCGCTCTTGAACCTCGATTCCTTTCGCTCTCCAAGGCTACCTTCTCTCCCTCTTCCACCGTGCGATCTTTGTCTCACAAATTACCAACCGCACTTTCTTGCTAAAAAACCTTCACTGCTTTCTCTGTTGCTAGAGGTTGCTTTCTCTTCTGCTCCCGCAGGGCCTTCAGTTCTCACTTAGATTCCAGAGTAGAAGTCCAGAAAGCTAATATGGCAAAGCGAGAGCTTTCCAGCACTCTCAGGAACTTAAAAGGTGAAAAGAAACGATAAAATTGCAATTTTTTTGGTTTTTTATTTATTTTTAGTGTTAATTTCTGATTAAATTATTATTTTTGATAAACCCTTTTAGAATCTGATCTAGGTTTTGCTTAAATTCATCTTGGTGTTGTTTAATTTTGAGTTATATAATTTTCTGGTGGACCTTTAATTGTATTTACAGATTAATACAACGTAATTGGGTTATTTTTTTAATTACTGTAGTTTATGCAAAGAGCAACTTAGAAGGAGGTGAAGAAAGAAGAAGATGTCAAACGATACCTTATCACCTCAGGTACCTTTTAGACCTATTGCATGTCAAAATCAGCTTCAAATTTGTGATTTAATATAATTGAATTTTAACAAGTTTTTAGTGATTTTGTAGAATTTTACGTTTAATAACCAAGTGGATTACTTTACTTGGTTGGACCTGTTTTTATAGCTATATTTCAACCTTTCCTTTGATGGCTTTTAACGATTGGATTTCTCGAGTCTACTTTCCATGCTTTGACCATTTCATTTGGCAGAGGGTTCTGGGTTTTGGAGAATTCTTCATTAAATTGGTGGGTTTGTAGAATTGTACCCTTATATTTCTGGGTTTGGTTTTATGTCAGTTTAATAAAATTTTTTAGGTTTTGCAGAATTTTTTGTGATTAAATTTCTGGGTTAAGTAGCGGTTTTTGAGGTTGTGGTCTCCAAAAAAAGGTAATTTTTACATTAATTCTGTGAAAATTTGTACATATCAATGTGTTAGAATATTTAAGGGAATTTAAAATAAAATATGGTATTGGTATTGGTGGGGACGATGTATGGGAATTTTTCAAGGATTATTGGAATCTCATGGTAAGGAGTGATGTAGAAACTTATAGCTGCAGCAGTTGATGCAGGTTTCCTTTCTATGAACCTGATTTTGGATGGGGAAAGCCACCATGGGTGACTTCAGGTACGGAGTTCAAGAATCTAATTATGTTAATGGATACACGAGATGGAGATGGCATAGAAGTATCCTTGAATCTCAAGAAAGAAGACCTGGCCATATTTGAAAGCACTAAGGAGCTGCTTGAGTATGCATCTTTAAATCCAACTGTAATTTTGTTTAGTATTGTTGAACCTTTTATGATCTTTCATTGTTTTGTTTCTTGCTTCTGTTTTTCTTAGGTGTGCGCTAAATTGGATGTTGGTTTGGTTGTTTCCAATCTTTCCCCACGACTTTCGATACCCAATAGAGAATATGAAAAACCCAACTTTAATTTTGTAAATTTTTTGTCCTAAATGAAGGTAACATGGGAATTTGTTCCGAATGGTGTTCAAAGAACTTCAAACTCAACTTTGTCCTGAATGATGATCTGTTCTCTGGATGTCTGATATCAATTTTTTATCTGCTCAGAGTGATCTGATTTACATCTTTTGCTAGGGTGCTAATGTGCCTCCACCATTCAATTCATTTGAATCTACTGGTCTCCCATATGAGATTCAGAGGTATGGAATTATTCTTCTGTTTTTGTCTCTTTTGTGTAATCCTGGTAAAGTTACCTGAGTGTTTTGTGCAAAGTTATGTGATTGCTAGAGGTCCAATGTTGAGTTCCTCTTTACAAATGCTTCTCAACAATTGAGCCCTTTTTGTCACTATTCATATTGCAGGTTTTGAGCTTCCACAAATTTCAAGGCGTTCAAACTTTACTCTCGAATGAAATGGTAATTAAATTTCTTAAAATTATAGTTTATTACTATAAAAGATAAAGACTTATTTTCTCAGCATTGTAATCTATGTATGTTTACACGTTATCCAACTTGCTTCTACAAAATCAAATTACTTATATCCACCTATAAAATTCTGTTGAAGAAGTGAGATTTTTAAACTGCAGTTTTTCTTTAATTATTCACAAATGTATGTACAAGTTAACGAAAAAACATGTATGCTTTTTTGGTGAATTTAATTTGAATTGTTAAATTTTGGTAACAAAAAAACCTATGATAAATTAAAAGACTATCATTAAATAAGATTTTCTGCTCAGTGTACCTCTATATAGTTCTATTTGAACTCACATTTTTTTTTAATTTAAATTTTATTTCTCTGCATAGTCTGGAAAAATTCTGCTTTCCTAATCATTTCACACAATTTTGTTTAGTTTTAAAAGTTTTGCTATAATTTTCTCTGATGAAAGGACATTCTGTGACAAAAACCAGGATCAATTTGTTTGCAGCTTGAAGATTTCTACTTTCACCAAGTTTATCTCCAACTCCAGGTATTTTCTCCCATTGACAACTTAAAATCAACTGCACTGCACCTCTATACTTGCATAACTCTGTTTTTCTCTCCTCCTTAAATTCATATATGGAGATAGGAAGTTTAAGAATCTTTGTTCCTGCTAATAGGTTTAATAATAGTGACATTTGAATGATCTTTGTTTCCAGGAAACTGATTTTAAAGAATTGTAGCTGGTGATTCAGAAAATAGTTAGATTTTTTAAAGCTGACACAGGTTTTTATGAATATCAGGCTTTGAAATACAATGTTGTTCTAGGCTATCATCTAGATTCCCAATCACATGTTTCCACGGCGGTTTCAAAGAGGTCCTTGAGACGATCAGATGCTGTACTCAGCAGCCACCATTATAATAAGGTTAGGTGTTGAGGTTTTTCCTTAACTTATTTTTCTCTTGGAATATGAAACCCTATGTTTTTCCTGTATGTTGGTACATGTAAATAACACAATGGTTCATAATCTTTTATTTAGAGTTTAATAAATATGATAAAAGTGGATCATAATTTTTACAATAACCTAACATGGCTATTTTTGAAGGTAAGACTGAGCGTCATTCTCTTGGTCACTAGATGCCTTGAGAATTTATAGTCACTCACCCAACTTGGGATTTGAGTAATCATGAATAACTCGATTTTGTGTTACTATGTGATGCGGTGGTGAGAGGACTTTGGTATGGGAGGGAGGACTAGAGAGAGATGTTTAGATTTGAGAAGGGTAATTGGTATTGAAAATTGAGATGCCTGTATACCATGGCAGGGTCGGTTCCAGCTTTTTCTTTTCCTTGGTATGCATTATTTGTCCCTTTCTTTTAATTTGTTAGTTTAATTTATTCCTGCAATTTTGTATGAACTATATGTGTGTAGTGATAGATTGTAAGGTGATTGAGATTTGTGCAGGTAATTACTATAAATACAAATGGATGGTGCATACAAAATACTATAACTTCAAGAAAAAACAAAACAGACCCAGATACCAATTCACTTCAGTCCCCAAACATCTCGATCCATTCCAGCTTTTTCTCTTCCTTGGTATGCATTATTCCTCCCTCTCCTCTCTTAATTTTTTTTCTTTTTGTTTAATTATTTCTGGAATGTTGGAACCTGAATTTCCAGAATTATTGTGATTTTGGAACCCTAATTTGGGATGCATGTAAATGAAAAGTCTTATATATTTGGTCTTTGCTTACAACCTCTCTCTGCTCTTTCTCTCTCTCTCTCTCTCTCTCCAAAACTCAATTTTGAAGTTGTCATGCATTTTTTATTTTTTTTTATTTTTTTTATTATCACTGTCACCTTTTGATTTGCCTTATGGTTTTATCGTCGTACATCATTAGTTGACAACTGTCTTTGTTTTCTTCTGCAGCATGGAGAGTTGTACAAGGCACTTTCTGCAATTTATTGCAAAATAATGTCAGTTATCCCTTCTTTGGATACAACTCAAACTGGGAGCAAGTCTGGTATCCAAGCTTTACGTTCGTTGCATGTAGCACATGAAAAGTCTAAGAATGTAGTAAGCTTTATTTGGCGGGTATTCCCTTAATAGTTAAGGAAACAATTATTTTCCCCTTTCTGCTTTGAAGAAATAGAATTCTCTTTAGATGTTTAAATTTGTTTCATTCATGATGAGGTTGTGTATAAATTGCATTTGCATTTGTAACTCAGTTTTTGACTCGAACATTGTTTATAAAGATTGCAGGTGCATAATCTTTTATATAATTTTCAATCCCGCAGCAACGCGCGGGTGCAAATTCTAGTAGAATCTAGATTCCAGCGAACCACTGCCCCCACTCAATTCAATTGTACTTGGAAAGTACTAAACAGTGCATGCAGCTGGAGTTCGTGAAAGCAACATGACATTTGAAAGAGAACTACAACTTTATTGGCTAATTTCAGACTGTGTCTTAATTTGCTGCCTGTTCCTGATTGATATATTTAGGGTTATGGTCAGAAACCCTACTGGCCCAAATGAAGTGATGCATTTCTTTTACTTAAGATCCAAAATCCTCGATGATCCATATAGGTCCACTAACACCAGCCTGTGATAGACATGGCATGTGAAGGAACACAAAGTCTGATGGTTCACTTGAGCAACAATCAAAAGAGAAGTTAATAGTGATGTGATTGCGGCAGAGAAGAACCGTGGCCATCCCCATGTGTTATTTTTAGTGTTACCGGCAGAAAAAGCCCGTTTATGAAGAAGATGTTGGAAAATAACAGAGAGAGAGGAACAAAAAAATAACTGTAGATGTTATCGCAGTCATGTTTTTTTTTAGAAAGGCTCAGTTTGCTCAGGTGAGTTGAGGTTGTGGTGGTGAAAGACTTGAAAGAGCATCATTCATTCTTTCAATTGAAATCATTTTTGTGATTCTGAATCAGCTGCAGCATGGGGTTCTCATGTGGGGTGTTTTTAAGAGACTTCGTTTTTCTGTAAAGTCTAATGGATGCGTTGCCTCATACAGTTTTTTACTCAATGGATACGATTTTGTGTGTGTAGTGAAGAAGTTGAGGTTGCACTATAAAATCAATGGACAATATGAAGAATAGCTCAACTTACTTATAAACTCATGCAAGGTCCCTCCTCTCATCAATGTGAGATTCATTCTCAACACAGCATCTCACGTGTGGCGATTTTTCAAGTCTAACACGTTACAAATGAATCGATGATGTGGAGCACGTATGGCCATTAGGCTCAAGCTTCACACGTGGGACAACTTACTCTGATACCATAAAGAGTTGAGGTTATACCATAAAATCGATTGGTAATATAGGGAGTAGCTCAACTTACTTATAAGCTCATGCAAGGTCCCACCTCCCATCCATGTGGAATTCATTCTCAACATATATGTGAATGTTCTTATTATATGTATGTCAACTTGATCATGCAAAGACGATATCATTATGACCGTATTTCAAGTCAATCACGCACTACTTTATATACGCAAAATTTGAACTACATAACAATGCGTGTTTGATTTTACTTCCACAATGACATTCCTAATGTAGGCAAAATTTAAACTACATGACAATGCATCATTATCACTGTCCTTAATTTGATTCAATGCGTGATTGCTTTTACTTCCACAATGACATTCCTAGCTATATCTGATCTTTTGTCTTTGCACAGAAAACAGAAGAAACTGATAGTCTGGTTTCTATTTGTGTAAATTTGTCCTACAATCTGTCTTCTGTACATTGAATCAATTACATTCAATGAGGTTGATATTTTCTCTTTCAAGAGAATATTGCTGCAACATAAAATGGGTAAGAACTAATAAGTAAAGGCACATCGAAATTAGTTAGTTTGATATATTCAGAGAAGTTTTTTGTCCCCCTTTGATTCAGTTAACAAATACTGAGAGTGACATATATTGTCTTTACCAGAATGGTGGAGCATAGAATGTGTAACAGTGTAAGAATAGATTGTTGGATATCTTTTTCACAGAAAACAAACTTTATGTGTGGCTGCAGATACAAAGATTTTTCTATGGATGAAAGGAATTTGAGTTGTTTTTTCACGTCCAGATTAGAACCAGCTCATTTGTACCACTACCAACATACCTTCATAATTTCTTAGTCATCATCACACGTATGCCATAACCAAATATAGTTTCCTAATCTATTGCCCAACCACCGAGTACTTCTTCGTTGACGTACCAGTTTTACCATTCATACTATAATACTTGTATATATTTAACAACAGTTCTATACCCTAAATTCATGTATTACCAATCATGTCATCTACTGATATTATAACACGTGAATTAGTATACATCACATGATCGTCCCACCATCACACTTAAAAGTTTATCCATAACACCAACCTCATCATCTGTTCGATAAGCTTTAGCTTTCTGCTAATATCATTATATGCATAATGCCTTTTCCCTTTTCCTCCTACCTGAGCCATTTAAAAGTTTTTCAGAAATATTACCGGCCAAATACATTAGTGTTCTGGCAGAAAGGTATAGTTATTGGCTTCCTTTACATAATTAAATATGTTTAAACAATTAATTCCCACACAACATTACAAATTATCACTCCAAAAGGTAAAAGTTTTGAACTGCATTCCTTCAATTTCTAGATATTGCTTTACAGAGAAGATTTAGTAAGTAACCTTCATGAAGGGCTTTGTGGCTCCTATCCATGTGCAGAGGCAACAGAGGCTTAATAAACATGTATTTTTATTTGATCATTAAGTCGGTCAAACCTCAAAGATAATAGTTGTTAAAGGGAATGGTGTTTGGCTAATTCTCTAGAGAGGGGAGGGGGGGTGGGTTGGGGTGGAAGAGAGAGTTGAGTTTGCATTTTTCCATTGATGGGTCCTACCCATGATGGGATGCTTATGGCTAGTTGCCAATCTCAAAAACTTTGAATCAGTGGGCTGACCTTTTTTTAATAGGTTTTTGGGGAAAACATGGGTTTAAGCTGATTTAGTACTATTTTTAGAGCTATATTGCTTCAAGTAGTTGTTCTTGGCTGCGAATTAGGAACCTTGCACATGAAAAACCATGTAAAATTAATGCAAGGTGGAGAGGAAGTGGGAGAAGGAACCTCAAATTAGTTAACACATGAGCTTAGCCGCAAAAGCTGGCACCCGCGATAGCCATATTAGCTATAGTTGATGTACTTCTCCAGGCATCTGAGTTTGAATCATTACTTTTGTAATCTATATTAGTTTAAAGCATAATATCGATTGTATAAGAAAAAACATTTGAACTGAATATTGTATGTAGTTCTGATCGTTTAATAAGACTGACATTTCTACTTGTATGTAAAAAGTATGTGATAAATGGGAAAAGAAAATAGAAAGAGAAATGGAAATATGTGATTGAACGTGATCATTGGATTAATATGATACAAAAGAACTGTATGGAAATTCAGAAAAAAAATAAAAAAATAAAAAGATAAAAAAAAGCCTCATCATCCTCAGTATACAAAATGCCCGAACATTTCCAGTACTTGGGCCTCTGGAGAGGGCTCTTTGTCTCTGTGTGCTATTTGCTTGTTTTCTTTCCCTTATATCATGTACACTATTTTATTTTATTTTCATTTTTTTACACCATGAGAGTTAATTAAGTGTGTGGTTAATCTTCTGAATGGATAGGTAAATATTTTTAGAACTGAGAAATGCATCTTCTATGGCAAGCTGTGGTTCTCATTTTGACCTGCTTGGTTTCTCCCTTCCACACATTGCTAATATCTTGCGCAATTCTCATGGCATCATTTGATGCACCATTGAGCCCTCTCCTTGTGAACCCTACTGCATAAAGTCCTGCATTTCCTTTCCAACCGTGGGGAAATGACTGCTTTGGGAATCCATTCTTAGAGAAGAAATCACCTTCCTGTTAAACATAGCACAAAACAAGATTAGTCACCAGTCCAAAATCAACAATCAAAGTTAACATGAAAGTTTTTACCATCAACGGTCGTATACATACACTTTTTGTCACATCATCCTCGGTTGACTTATCATGTCAACAGATGATGTGACAGATATTGTATACGGCCGAGTTTTAAATTTCAAGAAAGAAAAAGAGGAGTTTGGAACATTTTTTCACCTGAAGCCAAGAAGGAACATTGCTGCGGTATCCGGTGGCTAGAACAACGGAGTCGATTTCGAGGGTTTCGCCATTGACGAGCTCGACTTGACCGGTTGAGAACCTCTTGATTCCAGGAACAACTTTAATTCCACCGGACTTGATTTTGTCCAATGCACCAATGTCCAAAACAGGGGTTTTTCCTTCAACGTTCTTCATCTCCATTGGTCCCATGGATGGCCTTTTCAGCCCGTATTTTTCAATGCTTCCGAGCACTAACCAGGCAAACATCAGTAGGAACTTGTCAGCCAACCAAACTGGCAGCCATTTTAGCAAGAAAACCGCCAATTCGAACGTCGATCTTCCGAAGATTTCTCTAGGCATAACATGAACCTGTAAAAAACAGAGCAAGAATTATTAGAATCCCATTAAATATTAAAATTTATTAAAGAAAATTAATGACTCGGTTGATAACCATTTCGTTTTTTAGTTTTAAAGTACTTTGTTCGAAGACTTACCGAGCTTCTAACCACCATTGATGGGAAGGCATTGTGGTTGCAGAGGTCAAGAGAGACTTCCATGCCGGAGTTTCCACACCCAACAACAAGCACTTTCTTTCCCCTGAAATTTTCACCCGACTTGTACTCACAAGCGTGAATAACTTCACCTCCAAACTCCGACAAGCCATCGATTTCTGGCACGACACACTCAGCATTTTCGCCTGTAGCCACTATGAGCCACCTGCAAATATACTCAACCTCGGACCGGGTCGACTCGGTTGAGGTAACGGTCTTGACTCTCCAGAAACCGCTTGTCTCATCGTACCTTGCTGATTGAACGCAGGAGTTGAACTTTGGGTTGATCTCAAAGTGTTTTGCGTATGACTCAAGGTAGTCGATGAATTGTCGTTTTGTTGGGTACTCAGGGAAGTCTTCTGGGAATGGAAGTTTGGGGAGTTGGCAAAATGCTTTTGGAAGGTGAAGCTTGAGCCTGTCGTAGGTGCGTTTTTGCCAAAGTGATGCTATGCACTCGGCTCTCTCAAGGACGACAAAGGGTACTCCCTGGTCTCTGAGACAGGCTGCCGTTGCCAGACCTGATGGTCCGGCCCCAACTATAACTGGACCATTGATCATGATACAACGGCGAGCAAAGAAATCTTCATGATCCGCTAATCGAAAC